CCAGCCCCTCCCCACAAGCTTTGCTTCTGTCCCGCCCTCCCCCCCAGCTAGGCAGCACCTGCCCCTGCCCCTTCCCTCACCATGGGGGGCATTGATCTGCCACCCCACAGAGCATGGGCATTTATCGGCCAAATTATCGGTCCCATCAAGCTGATATCTCATATAGACAATCTTCTTTATATTGGTACTGATCCAATATCGGACTGATGTATTGGTGCACCTCTACTAACTCCTTAATGTTCCAAGCCAATTATGCTTAGACCAGGCAGACCTTACCTTTCTACCTGCTCTTTCTTATCTGGGTTGCTTTGTTTTGTTCAACAGGTCAGGGTGGCAGATCTCTTAGGTTTATTTGGCTCAGCTCTATTTTTCCTATTGCCTTTTTAACTTTTATAAAGTACGTGCTCATGTGATTACAAGAAGTAATATAATATGAATAATTTATGGATGCTTCCCAAAACGTCTTAAATGTGATGTTTGTCAAAACATGGATGTTTCCCAAAACATCTCCACATAGGGTCTGCCCTGCTGTCCCCCCTTGCATAATCCAGGGATAGCAGGGCAGACCCTATGAGGAGAGGCTATGGGACCTTAACATGTTCAGCCTTCACAAGAGAAGGCTGAGGGGGGACCTGGTGGCCATCTATAAGCTTACTAGGGGGAACTAGCAGGGTTTGGGAGAGACCTTGTTCCCCCCGAGCACCTCCTGGAGTAACAAGGAATAACAACCATAAGTTGCTAGAGAGTAGGTTTAGACTAGACATTAGAAGGCACTACTTCACAGTCAGGGCAGCTAGGATCTGGAACCAACTTCTAAGGGGAGTGGTGATGGCTCCTACCTTGGGGGTCTTTAAGAGGAGGTTCGACGTTTACCTGGCTGGGGTCATTTGAGCCCAGTTCTCTCTCCTGCCCATGGCAGGAGTTCAGACTAGAAGATCTAAAAGGTCCCTTCCGACCCTACTTCTATGAATCTATACAGTTTAATTCAAAATTGAAATTAACTGACAGATTGCTCAAGCCACATCTATTTATAATGATTTGATTATATGATGCTAGTTTACTAGTAGCCTCCTAGTAACTGAAACATTCATGTAAGCACTTTCCCATTACTCAAGACTAATATACTAACCCTGGATAAAAATGTTCTCAAACATATTTAATTTAATTCCCTTCTTACCTGTGCTCCTCTCTATCAGATAATAAGTAATGTACTGTTCACTAGCATATTAAAGCTGGATTGTGTCTCTAGTTTTGTTTCTGATAAAAAGTGCAAATCTTAAACTCTTTGTTTTCTCAGAGAAACCAACTATTCACCTGAACAATACATTTCAGTATTTCCACATTACTGTTTGGTTTAGATTGCATCTCTACCATGCAGATCCCTGTTCACAGAGCTTCTAGTCTGTTTTGTGTGGCTCTATTAAATAAATGCAACACATGCACATGCATTAAACACGAATTCACACTTGACAGATGGACAACAATAATAATAACTTCTAGAACAGGTTTGATGCAAGAGGGAGATAGGATGCAGATTTTTCAAGGTGGACCAGCTATTCAGCCAACCGCATCATTAGCTGAACCTCAATACTGAAGTCATATTTTTTTGTCAACAGTAGTAACACTTTGTTCAGTTATTAACATAGCTTGTCCCATAAATGTGTACCGGGGGGGGGGGGGTGGTGTCAAACCCCTTTAAGAGGCAAAACATTTCTGCTCATTTCAGATATTCAGTATACCTAACTCTTTGCCCCGCCCTGGGTCAAAAAGGGGATATATTCCTGGTTTAGGCAAAAGAGAAGTACTTGTTAGCCCAAAGCCCTTACAGCCCTCTCAGAACTGCTCATGCAATGATGCAGGTGAATCCACATAACACAATTATTAGTTTCCTTTTTCCCCCTTCAAAACTGATGAATTCATGCATGCTTGCTCAAAATGAGAGGCTCACATTTGTGGTACAGAAAGACTTCACTAACTCACTGCAAATACACACACAATATAGAAATAAATTAATGAGATAGTGCAGCAAGTTGATTTGTGCATTACTGGAGAATGCACAATTGAGCTATTTAATAGGTGAAGAGGCATTCACATTAGGGAAAGCTGGAAAATATTTTTACTTACTATAATAAAATAGCCCATTATGCATGCCACTGTGTGTATAAAAGTATTAAAGCATTGTTTAGTCCTTCAAACAACATGACAGTATGGTTTTACACTTCACCTGGAAGTAGTTTTTTTTTCTGTGAGCCACTATTTTATCAAGTTAAGAAGCAGCTGATTCAAACCTGACCTGCTGTATTTGTGTAAATACAGAATAAATCCTTGACAATCCATAAGGTAGTTTTAGATTTACACCCCTGTAATTAAAATCTCTTTAGATGTACACACTACCATGACATATTGGGAGACATGTCTGTGTTAACATACAAACTCCATTATGGCCCTGTGAATGCTATTCCATAGTTACAACTCTTATTCTGAACATAACCGGAGAAAGGAAACTCATAGATTTGATTCACAGGTCATGTCCTAACACTCCTAACACTGAACTCCAGGAAAGCAGCCAGGTTGTTGGTTGATTGGTTGGTATTGGGAGACTGATCCAAGCTATTTCAGAAGCATTCCTTGATATCAACAGTTTTTTCAGAGTAAGATTTCTCTCTTAATGCTTGGTGCTGTGAACTACAGGGTCTCAAAATTGATCAATTAGTTTAACATGTTAAACACCTCCAGGAAATGGAACTGGCATTTCCAGTAGAGGTACTGTATTTCTTTAAATAAAACGCCCATGGGTGCATCCACATTGAGCGTGCCTCTTGCAGCATCTCAAACCCCTTTCAGACACTGCAAGGCGCATGTGCAAGAACAAAAACACGTTCCCCGCGCTGCATATTTGCGGCACAGATTCAAAATTTGGTACTTATACATCCAGGAACCAACACAGAACCTCGGCGAAAAAAGCAAGACAGGCAACTGAAGGTCCTCTGCAGAGATGCTCTGGTAGCCAGCCAGACTGTCTCTATGGCTGGTGCTTGCCCTAGTGCTGAAGCAGGCTGCCTGCCCGTGCAGGGCAAGCAGCGTGCAGGCTGTAGAGACCTGGGCTCTGTGCCAGGTAAGTAGGGGTTGGTGGGGGCTGGAGGAGGGGACCATGAGGGACACAATGGCCAACTGTGCAGCCAGAGCCCAGTGGCAGCTGGCTCAGAGGTGCAGATGCCTCTAATGGCCATAGAGTCCCCATCTAGGTCTGGCAGGTGCGCAACCCTGGGGCCACATATAAAACCTCGGCTGTCGCAGGTGGCAGCAGGTCATAGCCAGGCAGCAGCCCCCCATTGCCAGACTGCTGCAGTGGGTACAGAGGAACTCTCAGGGCTGCTTCAGCAGTCCAGCTGGCACAAGAGGTAGTGTCCCCAGGTACCAATTAGCCAGGCCCTAGAAGCTCCTGAGAGCGAGTAGCCTTGAGCTACTTGCCAGGGCAGCTTTTTGTATGGCTGAAGATCCGGGAGGAGCCAGGCAGGGTTATTTTGCCCCAAGTGGCACAATTTGCCCCACACCAAAGTCCATGTCTGGGCACGTGCGCCGAGGCAAAAAGTCTGAGCTCAAATTTGCACCGCTTCTATACGAGCTGCTGCACACGCACATGCCTGCATGTGTGGACACGCCCCATGAGTTTAAACACACAAATTTTTCCAACACTGAAATTAAGTAAAATGAAGGCAAATTTACAAATCACAGACAATTTTCAATTTTAGAACCATATTTGCTTTTAAAAAGGGCATCTTCTATTTGAAAGAATGCAATAGATGTAAAGGGTCTTTTGGTCCACTGAACACGTTCAGCATAAAATTGAAAAAAAAGTGTTAGACAATTTGTTTTTGGTCCTTGTTTTCCACAAATGCTAATAGTCCAAGACTCTGTCTTCACCTGATGCAGAGTATCAGTTAACCAAAGGTACCAGTATGAGTAATAAAGAAAGGTCCATTTTGGAGTCAGTGGGAGTGTCTACATGTTCTATTAGTGTGATGCAATATGTTCCGGTGCAGTTCATGCCAGAGTTTACTGCTCCTGGGCACCTCATCACACATGTGCCTAGGACTGCAGCACACTGAGCTGCGTTGGAGCAGCCCCGACTGGCAGTGGACCCAGGGTGTCAGACTGCCATCCAGGGACTGCTCTGACCCAGCTCAATGAGCTGAAGAGGGGCTGAATGGGGCACGAGGTTACTCTAGTATGGGGCCAGCCGGCAGGCTGAAGCACCCTCATGGCCCAGGAAGCCAGGTCAGTATCTACACATGCGCTGCAGTGCACTAAATAATGCCACCATAGAATAGTACTTTGTTCACAAATATTAATGTATGGCAGTATTTATTAGCTTACTACACCCTAGTACGTCTCATGTAAATGCACCCAGTATGTTGTTGGTAGAAGCTAGTGCACAATTATCATTGATTAGAACCTTGTCCTTTAAGTAGAGCTCACTTTATCACATCAGACTGCCTGAGCCGGACTGAACTGGGACATGTCTTCATATACCAAATTCAGAGAGGTGCTTTGCATAAAAATAAAAGAGAATACAGAAGAAGACAACTGATTTTTATGTTCCTTTAAGACTACCCAAAGTTAAGAGAGCGTGCCAATAGCATTAAGCATTTGGGTTTGTTTGTTTTTTTAAATATACTTCTTGTGTTGTCACAGTGACCCTTCTGGCCTTATTTTCTTGCGAGATAAAGGGAAGTGATAAAAGGACTTGCTATTTTAGAGAATAAAACAAGAAGAGGACCAGGTAGCTGTGACAAGTGCAGAGTGAAAAGGAAATTAACAAACAGCAGGAAAAAAAAATATAACATCAGATGACAGCTTGTCATGTGCTAGGGTGTGAGAAAAAACCCAGGTAAAACTGAATGTTAAAATAAAGAAGTACAAGTAAGAGGAAATAGTTTACACTTTGCACATAGTCTGCCTTCTGGAAATCTTCATACAAGTTGCTGGTACTGCATCACCAACAAAAGTTTCAAGATCCCTGAGAGACAATTTAAGATATTTCAGCCTCTATCATCTGTTATTTCACTATGTAGTTTGCACATCCTTAATACTGATAATGCCAAATGTTGTGATAACACTGTATAATTCAAACAACAAATTAAGAGGAAGATTAACATTAATTCTAGTTTAACAGTCTTCCTAACTTGTGGATGCAAGAACTGACAGAATCTTAAAAAAAGAAATATCACATACCACAACACAAAAATGGTCACAATCAGGAGCTATAAGAGTTATCAAATCCACTGTTACTTACAAATAAAAATAACTAGTTTATATTTAACATATAAATGAATATGAAAATAGTTTCTTTAGACATGTTGCGTTTACCCTTACTAGTGCATTAGTTAAATCTTACCTTAATTGGTTTCTCCATGTCACTGTAGCATAGAGAATTGAGAGATATTTTAAAGGGCCTCCAAACAGGATTCAGGTTGTTTTTAATAACCTACCAAAAATGTTGATAAAGGTTCATTAGCAAGTCAGAAACAGGGAGTGACCATTCTTTTAGAGTGCATATTCAGAGATGAGAGGTACTGATGTGCACTGCTATCATGAAATCCATCTACACACGTGTCTCAAAATTGGCATTTCATACTACAGGGATACTACAGGAAGCACACTTTCTAAGAATACAATACTCACATGGAGACTGAAGACTGCTGCTCCCTGCTAGAAATTCCATATCTCCTGGGAGAGACATAATCTGCCATACCATTTAATCCTAAACATGGTTGGAGGCAAGATTTCACTGCTTCTAGGGAAGACCCACTGCTATAGGCAGCATTTTGTTATAGGGGAATATAGCTTACCAGTAAGAGTGAGACAATGAGATACACTGTCATTTATAGGCATTGTATTCTTGAGTCTTATTTCACCCCAGCACATATTTATGCTGAACACAACTTCCAGAATCACTATCGCCAGAAACTCTAGATTGCATGAATAGAAAGGCAATGTATACTTCTATCAAGCCAAAAGGGTAAAAGGAGAACTTCATAAAACTATTATAAACATTCATGGAAGAGTTTCATAATTCTCAGATTGTGAAGTATACATAAGATTCAACAAGTTGCAATTAGATTGGATACAGTAAAAATCCTTTACAGAAAAAATAGTAAGATTTTTTATCAATCTAAATTTGGCCAGACATATGAAAAGTTATGCTTATATGCTGAAGTTGTACTGAAAAAAAATTCCACAAGCAATGAGTAAAATGCCTTGACTATACTTAATGTTAAAATTATTAAAAACGTTAGGTCATTTTGTAGTAAACACACAAACTTATTTTAAACCCATGTTCAGTTATTCACCCCATGCTAGAACACTGATTTTAAGAACTGATCATTTTTTAAGAGAATGCAGGAGCCCTAATAGAGAAACATAAAAGTGCTGGTGCAGGAAAAAAAAAAAAGAGGCAGATATTATATTTTCCCCACAAAATTCTTTACACCTCTTAGAAGACAAAAAAAAAAAAAAAGGTAGGAGATAAATTCTATCCGTCCTCATTTTAAAGATGAAGAATTGTGACACAAACATTAAGTGGCTATTCCAGGGCCAAACAAAAAATCTCTGGAAATGCTGAAAAAGCTTAAGTACTCTAAGACTTACTCCACTGTTCTAACTACAAGACCTCTGTCTTCTCTGGAGAGAGTGCCAGGGCCTTGTCATAGGTTCACTTGCAACAGTTGCAAATCATAGGAATACTGCAATGTATTAAAGTTAGTACATGCTAAGGAGATAATCTTCACTTGAACAGAAACAAGTTTGCAATGCTAAGAGGGCACTTAACATGTGCTAAACTGCTGCAAAGTGCAGCTGCTTAAGTTTTAACTGCACTTAGCATGCGTTAAAGTTATAAGGGTGGTGTCACATCTCTCCATTTTTGTTCTTGCATGAACAAAAATCAGATTGATTCAAGAAACTTCATGCCATTGACACAAATACTGTCATACCTCTGTTCTGTGAACCATCACCCAGTTTCCTTCTGACGTTTGCTTGTGGAATTCCAAATATGGGTCCGACTTCCCAAAGAAATCCTGTATTCAAAGAATAAATATCTAACCATCTCAGAATAGCCAATGGTATGAAACACTGGTTGGAACATGATCGAATTCACAGAAGGTAAACAAATTATCTATCAAGAACTTTTAGATATCTTTCTGTTGAAAGAAGATTACGAACTGTAGAAAACTCCAGTTTTACTACTTTATATGAACTAATTACCTTATTGTCTAGTTTCCTTGCTTCTACTTCCAATAAGACCACTCTGTTATCTTTTACTTCTTCTGCTGTAATCTAGGTAGATAATTAAAATAAGGAAGAAAAACATTGCATTCTACATTCAGGTACTCCATATTTCTTTAATACTGTTCACAAAATACCTAGAAAGGAGCCAGAAAGAATCTACAGTTGCTCAAGAATTGAGTGATAAAAAATGGAGACAACCAATTTGATTTTTACAATATGAAATAATGGCAATATGCAATAATGGCCCCTTGACCCTCTCCCTCATATTTAATTTCCCTACTATAGCAGTGCAAAGAGGGCAAATTCAAGGCAAACCTCCATACCTGGAAAATTATGACACATTTATAAATTGCCCAAATATAGAATCTAATTATTAGGAGGTGTCTTATATTCAGGGACATCTTCTATTCAAGTATATATGGTAAGTTATGTTTGAGGACAATGCATTGTGTGGGGCTGAGGCAGGAAGGAGAAATGGTATCACCCTACCGTAATGCTTCCTTTCCCAGCAGGCTTGCCATTTTTAAAAACTAATGGTCTTGTTAGTGTCTTGGTGGAGACTATCTGTCAAAACAAAAGTTAAGTGTCAAGAATTATTTTTACAGTCTAATAGCTTTTTAAATGAAAGGAATGGGTAGTGATGAACATACCATTTTAGGAAATTTTGCTTTTCCAGATGTACCCTATACAATTATATTTATTTCCAATACCCTTCCATGTATTTTGATATTTAAATACTTTTACCAATATAACATTAGTTACAAATCCAGAAGTTAAATAATACAAACAAGGAAGTCAGTCTTAATACGCCAACATTTTCAATAATAGAATTAGCAGAGGAGTTTTAACCACTAAATAACAGCTTGCAACTAGGATAAGATCTCTCTCTCACACAGGGATCCTGGCTTTCTCTGCTTAAAAACTGCAAATTCCCCAATTAAAAAAATCCCAAATTCTCTGATTAAAAGAACCCACAATATCTTCATTTTTCCACGATTAAAATGAAATGACACTTATATACCCATACACCCACACGTATCAATTTAACACATTTCATCGATATATTTACAACTTTAAAGCAATTTGGAAGCCTATCAGTACCTCAATCATTACGATACAATAAATTCTAAATACCTTTTTTTTTTTACATCATGGAAAATCGGAGCTCCTCCTGTCACCTTTGATCACCAGGATGTGGGTTCAGCTGCAGCTGTCTAAACAGCGTTTTGCAGTGCTGAGCACCCCGATATGCTGGTGCCCAGCCCCTGCCCTTCACTCCCAAGCCATCTGCTGGCCACCCCACCCCTGCAAGCACAGGCACACAGCCACCAGACTAGCCACACAGCTCTCTATCATCCCCCAAATGCCCCCCTCCATGTTCCAATGCTGGAGGGGAATATGGTGCCTCCCCCCTGCCCCGCCGCAGCTTCAAATGCCCGGATACCTTCCCCCAGTGCTTGCAGGCACCTGCCCCTCCGCATACTCCTGCTGCACACATACCTCACACCTCCCTCTCCCCCCATGACAGTCCCCAAGCCCTGGCCCTCCAACCCCACCCACCACATACTGACCTGCATCCAGCTGCTGAGGCTACTCCCACAACTCTGCCCGACTGTGTGCCAGCCACATGCATGTGTGCACACATGGCGTTCCCTACCCCCAAATCGGTCACTGCCCGCTGCTCCTCCCCCCCACCCCGGCTCCTTCCAGCAGCTCCTTGAAGGCTGGAATGTGGAAGGCTCCCAGCCTGCGAGGGGAAATCCGCGTTTTCCTGTGGTTGTCTCCTTTAAAGAAGAAAATCTTCATTTTTCTTGCTGCAAAAGCTAATGCAGCCCCAAAGACAGAGGTGCCAGTAGGAAACGTTATGCCACCATGACAGCCAATATAGGCGCACCTCCTTTTGATGGACACTCTAGAGACCCCACTGGGAAATAAGGGAGCAGAATCCAGTGAAATCCAAGAGAAAAGCAGAGAGACAATAATTGCTACCTTCACTAGAAAGGAATTGTACCATAGTCACAAAGGGCCTTGATGGCATATGCACGTATCCATGCATCAGTTTCAGTCATCCTTTTTTCCTCCTGTTTGTGCTCCATCCCCATTATACCACTGAGGGGGGACAAAATTTACTATGTTTTTTGGACTAAAAATAATAATTTAGTAGTGAATATTCTTCACTTACTGTTTATTCCGAGTCTATTTGTGCATTAAATTACCCCAGACATTCTACAGCTAAGAGTACAACAGACAAACTTCACGGCATTTGTTCTTTTGTCCTTAATTAAATTGAGACCAAACCAAAACCAAACAAGAATCTTATTTGTCACTTAAAGTACTTTCTTCATGCATGTATGGTCACAGAGCGATTAAGACCTTAACAGAAGAGCCACTGTGACTTAATCCTAGGAGAAATCAAGTAGAGAACAGAGTATCCAAGACCTGCATTCACATACTCAAATTGCAGTTTGTACTCACTTGTCCAAGAGTACAGTCAAATTCTCCCAGGAAGTCATCATCATTCAGCTCAATGGTTTTGTTGTCAATGTCATAAATTCCAAATTTGAGCTTCTGAACGAGCTCAAAATAGTAATCAATGAGGAATTTCTTGGAAAAATTTGGGTTCAAGGAATTCTTAATCCTTTCTGTGCGATCAAGCTGCAGACAGAAACACAGCAGATTACTAATCGACTCATTGCCTAGCATTCAAACTATGCATGTGGCCAAAACTAAAATTTCTCTCATATGAAGTTTTCCAAAGCCCTGATAGGTGCAAGAACAGAAATATGCATTTCTATAAGTCCTTTCACTACATGTAACATTAGACATATGACAATTTAAAACTTAAAAAATCCATTTGCTGAAGTTAAGAGAGATTCAAGGACCAGATATCTCACTGCTAAAATGCAACTAGAGCTGAACTTGTATACATTAAAAATATAACTTATTTTGTCTAAAATCCAAGGTGAAAGAGAGAAAAAAAGTAGTAACATATTAAGAAAATCTGGCTGCTCTGGATGAGATCATTATCTGTTAGCAAGTGTCTGCAATGCACTGGAAGACAGTCTGTCTGTCTCTATAGGAATGCCATGCTGGTATTATAACTACTTAAGTAAAACAGAATTGCCATCGGAATGGTAAAACTAATATCTGAAAGGGCTGCAGTCCATACAGATGGAGTCAGACCTAAAGGGTACAGTAGAATTGGCGCGTCATTAGATGTGCTTTAAATCCAGTGCCTCATTATTTTAATTGAGAAGCATCCAAGAAAACCAGACCACACTAGATTATTATTAAGTGCTTGAGGAAGAAGTGCCATACATACCTCGTACCACTGCTGCCCACTTGTATTCTGGAGAAGCACGCAGAGTGGGTCTGACTTTGAACCAACATCTTTATCCAACAGATTGTTGCAGGAGATTGACAGCTCCACCTTTGTCACACATTGTGCTGCCATTTGTTTAGCTAGAACCAAGCAGGGAAATTCAGTGTTACAAAAAAAACCCATTGATTCAAAAAGAAACAGCTGAAAGCTAATGGGCCTTTAATCTTCTGACAAACCGCTGGGAGGAGGGCACAGCATGAGCCTATCAGGAGTAAAATTTGAAGCTCTAAATGCCATCTGGAAGCATCACGATACACTGAAATGATACATTCTTAGCTTCTATGGGTTAAAAGCACATTAATCTTCTAATTAAAGCCCAACAAAATCTATATATGAGAAGAGAGGTCAGGCTTTTCAGAACACTTGGGCAGTCAAATTAAGAAGAAGGAAACAGGAAGAAATACAAATTAAAATCACATCAATTAGAGTACTTCTGCCATACACTCCATCCTACGTTTTCAAAGCACTTCATAAACATTATCTAACTGAGCCTTCTAAAACCCACAGGAAGATGTTCACTTTGTTACAAAATATGAGAACTGCAACAGGAAATCCAAAATGTATGGTAAAGAGTTGCAGAAAGATTTCACAAAACTGAGCAAGTGGGCAACACAGTGGTAGAATAAATTTAACAATAAGTGCAAAGTAATACATATGGAGAAAAAAAAAATAATCATACCTATATATCTGGGTGCACAACTAATTGAGCTGGAAGGCCACTTAGGGAGTTTTGGTGAGCTGTTGTGGAGCGAGGAGGGGGGGAAGGGAGTGCTGACTCTTCCCAGCAGTGTGTGTGGGGAGGGGCAGCAATTGATCCTATCCGGCCTATCCGGGACCTTCTTTCCTACATTCACCACCCAGGCCCTGGATGGAGCAGGACAGGCAGGGTTTCCACAGAGACCAGCCTGGGACCCCCACAGGCTGGACACATATGGCTAGAATGAGATGGGGCCACAGGTAGGCAGGGAGTGGCATCCAGGAACAGGATGGGCAGGCAGGACCAGGATTGTGGGGCAGTGACAGAGTGAGGCTGGGGCCAAGGGGAAAACCACAATCCGCTTCCCACATGTCCCCAAGATGGGTGCCTAGTCTGTAGGTAGGGATGTACAGGGAGTGGATCATGGCTCTGCCCCAGGTGTCAGCTCCACTCAGTCACTACCCCATGATCCCAGCTCCGGCTGCCTGCCCCGCTCCCGGACACCGCTCCCTGCCTGCCTGCAGCCCCATCCCATTTGCCCAGCTGAGCATATCCTGACAGCAGGGGTCCCAGGCCAGTCTCCATGGAGACCCCACCCACCTGCTTGCTCTGTCCAGCACCCTCAGCACTGGGTGCGGGATTCCTGGGCAGTGGAGCCAAGTCCAGCAGCGGTGGCAACACTGGCAGCAACAGCTGGGGGGAACTACTGGTGCTGCAGCTGCCAGGAAGCCGAGTCTGGCTGCTGTGCTGTGCAAGCCCCACCGTGCTAACGGGGTTAGTGAACTGGCTGCATGCACCATGGTCCAAGCTACCCCCTGCACCTAGGCCAGACAGGGCCAAGAGACCTGCTGTGGGCCAGATAGAAGGAAAAAATACTGTACAGCAATTTTTCTATTTCAAAGAACTCACAAAGACCACAAATCAGAATGCTTTTGACATTATGGATTCCTTTTGAAATCTCTGGATGTATCTTGTGAATCGTGGGTTTGTACACCTACCAGTGCCAATAATATAGGACAACCTGCAGCACCATTAAAAGGATCTTGTATCACCCTGGTTGAGAATCACTGCTACACTTAAAAAGCATCACTCCTAACTGCTAGATATACTTTGGAATTTTTGCAGTTACTATAGTTCAGTGACATCAATAAATTCAGAAATTAGCCCTGCACTCTCTGCAAGCGCCACTCCAATCCCCTTTTTCTGCTTTCTGCTCCCTGCTTCATGTGCCTGCCCCCTCAACTGCTGTATTATGCCCCAAACAATTAACATGCTCCAACAGACTCAATTGATCTAGTCTGCTCTGATGCACTGTAGTTGCAGAAAGTTAGAGTAGTGTCTCCACACGTCTACAGGCATCCTTTCTTTGCAATTAAGAAATAATAGGTGAAAGTTTCTGCCCCTGTGTTATAGATTCAAGGCAGAGCTTTTTGTGATAGGCTTTCCTGAGAAGGGTCCCTCTGAAAAGGGTTAGTGAATGGAAATTGGTAGGGTACAGAGAAGGACTTAGATGAGGGTAGTTGTGAATTGAAACATCCACCTCTGATGTGTCAGGCAATCTCTTGCAACACCCCATGAAAAAGGGTGAGATGGTTCAGTTGTAGGATCTTGTTCTCACTGTGGCTTAAACCGTTTCACTAATCCTATTGTCTATTGAAGGGAGAGAGGCATGAGCACTAGCACCCCTTACAACACTGAGGTCATTTTCTGGGGAGATATTCAGGTTGGTGTCTTGGAAAAATATAACTGTAGTCTCTGCCCTTGAGAGGGCTAGAAACTGCAGAATTTATGGTAGGGCAAAGACATATACATTTTTAAATAGTGTAATGTCATCCTTGAATACTTAAGGGAAATGACTATGTCCTCAGGTCCCACAAATAATTACATCCATATCCTCAGACAGAGCATCCCTAATAGTTGTCTGGACTCTAGTCACATGAAACCAGGACCTGGACCATAGATCAAATGGATTCATTAGATTTGCTTCATTAGTATGGAATGCTGATAAAACATAAAATAAAAACAGTTGAAGTCAAGGTAATTTATAACCTCAGTTGCTCTCTATTTTGGTCCTTAAGCATACCCAAATTGGCAGGCATATGTCCTTGAAAGCTAAGAATTGCACTGTTGTTAGCATCAGTGCTAGAATTGTGCTGTTGCAATCCTACTAGTTCAGTAAGAGTACTCTGACCCCACAACTAATTTCATAGCATGCCCAGCAAAAATGAGTCTCAGCACATTTGAGGGATCTAACCAGATAACAAGGGACAACATATCATGTCAGTTACCCAGGTACCATGAGTCATTTACTAATGTAAACATTAATGAATGCATGCAATTCAAATATTTATCTAAAGAATTGGTGGAATAACCTGTGTAACAGGTTAGCCTATGAATAATTTATAGATAGATTTATATACAAAATGTGTCCAAGTTATTTTGCTAAGTAGCATTTACTTAAAAAAAAAAAAAAGATACTAATTATATACTTGTTTGATAACTTCTGGTCTGCACAATATGACTTTATGGCACATTTATACAGAACAAACCAGGAATGGGGGTTCCTGAATAACCTCAAGCACTGACTACTTACCCCAGAGTTAAAAAAACATTCAACATATGAAGTCTGTTTCCACTGTAGAATTTACCTGGGAGTTTGCATGCATGCCATGCCATGCTAAAAAACAAAATCGTATTACTCAGATTTGGAGGTGCTTCAGCTTATACTAGTCAAACTGGCTGGAGAGAAAAAAAAAACAAAAACCCAAACCCCCCCACCCCCCCCCCCCCCTTCTCCCTCTCCAAAATAAAAAAAAACCCCCCCCCCCCCCCCCCCCCAGAAACTAGGCTGTTTTATCACTTGCACTGAAATCCTCCCACTTAAGTGAGGAAGCAGACCAAGTCACTCAAACATTAACAGTCCCCAAATACTCTCCCACAATTTTTCCTGAACAGAGACATTCGCACATGACTAGGAAAAAAAAAAAAAAAAAAAAAATCACAGAGCACCTCGGCACAAGGAACAGCAGAATGTATCACACACACTCACTTACAAGTGCAAAAATAGAATAAGGACACAGTAACATGGGCATGCTCATATGTAGACTATGCCAAGCTGTGTGCTCAGTTTGGGGCAACAATCACCCAGGAACTGCAATCCAATTTACATGAACTGTAGTCCCTGAATAACTCCATGTAGACATGCCCACTGACAGTTTGCTAAGGCCTATTACTGATGGGCTACAACTCATCAGTTTTTTTTCTATTCTTTCTTCATTATCAAATTAAAAGTTAAATTGAGGTGAGCAATGCTTCACTGGAAAATGGGTGAGGAAAAACATACCTAGAGTACTTTTACTGTACTTCTAGTATTCATTCTAAGCAAAAGAATTAGTATTTCATATGTTATACAACAAATAACCTCTAAACATATCCAAAAGATATAGTTATATACCTCAAATATAAAGGATTCAGATAAGGGAAAATATATTTCTTAGAGTAAGAGATCCATGTTCACCCAGTGAACATTTTTGGATAAAGCCTCTTTGTGAATTAGATGAACAAACGTGATATTTTCTGTACAAACACATGAACAGAACTTCAGCACTCCAATGAGCTGTCCTCCTACTTCCTTTTGCCAATATTAAATGTATTTGTATATGTAATAAACATTTGTTTCAAATACAATTCAAATGATCATTTTATTGCCTGAAAGGTACATTTGCATTTTGATTTGTAAGAAGTATAAAATGAAGGCTGGCATGAAGCAGAACTGATAGGTCTGTGCTTCAGAAGGAGGAATCAGCACAGTGTCTCTACAAGGAGAAGCAGCAAATACTTGTTACCCTGGTGTTTGTTTGTGAAGATTTTCAGTATACAACAGCAAAGGCTGCGTTTGTCTAAGTCTGTAAGCTAACTGAATGAAAGACAAACCTCAGCTTTAACTGGGCTAGAATCCCACAAATCAGCAGTGAAACCTATCCAGCATGATACCTCTCACTTGTAGAAACCCTCTAAAAATGTAGTAAGCCATTCTTAGCTCCCTGAACAACAGCATCTATCATTCAAAGAACTAAATAAAGAGCATGAGAGAAAACTGCCAAGCTGCAAATTCAAAATTGACAGAGTAAAACTATAATTAATTGGTTTATGAGATCGTTTAAGTTGATTTCAGTCTCCAACTCTTGTCTGAGAATTTGAAACAGACTGTGAAGGGGGTGGGGAGAGAGGAGAGATAAGACTGAGGCTTTAAAATAAAAAAAAAAAAAAGCAGTGAATAAATGATGCCTGGAGCCCACCCACTTTGGGCTTCCTGATCAAAAGAACCACTAAGGAGTTCTATCTCATAAAATGTGTTGGATGTCCTTCTGTGGCATGTTGATCACCTTGCCTTAGGGAACAGTGCTGCAAATAACATCACATTAATGTAATGTGATGGCTGAGAATTTTAAATACACAACAATAAAAAAACCCCCAAAGGTCTGGCGTGTTTTTAAAGCTGCACTACAGTTTCACACAAAAGGCCAAAAGGGGATACCATCATTATCTAATCCAGTGGCTCTCGATCTTTCTAGATTTAAAGCACTCCTTATAACAATCTTAGGATGTCTTTACATGTGCTTTGGGGTAGGGATGAGGGGAGGACAGACATGCTTTAATCAGAGCGGCTCTGAGGAACACCCACAGCATCTCGTGTATTTGGTGTCCTGCACTTCAAAACAGTGACCAGGGCAGTTTAACTACAGCTCGTAACTAGAAAGCATCCGAGCAGGCATCGGGCATGTGTATAGGTGCCTGCAGCTATCACTCATTTCTTGACTGTGGAAAAAACAATAGAGCAATTATTTTGCAAAAAACTAAGAAATCCCACAATAGGTCGGAATATTTTGGATACTACAGATTCCTATTTGAAACCTCTGGGTGCATCCACACATGCAAGCACATGCGCTTGCAGCAGCTCAAACAGAAGCGGTGCAAATTTGAGCCGGAGCTTTTTGCCTCAGCGCATGTCCTTGGGTATGCATTTTGTTGTGGAGCAAATTGTGCCACTTGGGGCAAAATAAATCTGCCTGGCTCCTCCCGGATCTGCAGCCAGCAGGAGCTAAAGCCCAGGGCCACCACCTGTGCTGTCCCCAGCAGTATATAAAGCTGCTTTGTCCTGGCCCCATCCATACAAAAAGCTGCCCTGGCAAGCAGCTCAGGGCTACTCGCTCTTAGGAGCTTTTGAGTCCCGGGCACTTGGTACCTGGGGATACTGCCCTTTGTGCCAGCTGGACTGCTTCAGCAGCATCCCAAATCTATTTTTAAAAATACCCCAAAATCTGTGTTTTTCCATAATTAAAACAAAAGACCACTCTATATACACATACACACACACATACATATATACACACATATTATATAAAGAGAGAGCAAGCGCGAGAGAGCGAGCAATCAGTTGGGCAATGCTTTATTGGTATATTTACAACGTTAAAGCAATGTGGAAGCCTACCAGCGTCTCTATCATCATGATAAAAAAAATTCTAAATACCTATGTGTGTTGATGGGTACTTTTGGTTTTCTTCGCAAATGATGGGTGTGCGATGGGGGGGATGTGGTGTTTGTAGGAAGGGAGTGGGAAAGGGTCTGGGGGAAGGTGGGTGGGTGTGTGTGGAGGGATGTTGGTTGGTGTGTGGGTAGGTGGGGCAATTGCTGGGGGGACTGTGAGGGCCACAGTCCCCCTGCCCAGGGTCCCAGACAGCCTGGAGGGCTACAGTGCCCCCCCACCCAGCGTCCCAGGCAACCTGGAGGGCCACAGCCCCACCCTGCCCAGGGTCCATAACTTACCTTTAGCAGCAGCAGCAGCGAGAGTGTGGTGCTCTGAGCCATGGCGGCAGGACCTGGCGCAGCACACGGGGACCGCACCGAGCCCAGCCAGATCCTGCTGGCCCTGGGGCCTCTCTGCTGCTCGGCCAGGCCAGGCTGAATCATGGTGGCAGGACCCAGTGTGGCATGCGGAGACCACACGCCGGACCCAGCCAAGTCCTGCCGGCCCTGGGGACTATCTGCCGCCCGGCCAGGCCAGACCCATGGTGGCGGGGCCTAACCGCACGCCGCGCCCAGATGGGTCCGGCTGGCCGTGGGGCTGCTCATGCTGAATACAGCTACCTATTCATATGAACAGCCGACCAAATACATCCAGAAACCATCAATACATTATACTAACCAGCAATGTTACAGGTGAATGCAATCAGCTTGACCCCAGGTGGTGGCAGAAGCTGCTGACAAGACCTGAGTTTCTTTGAGGCCAGAATGATTTTTTGCTGCGACATCTCTACAGCAGCAGATTTAGGCAGCTTCACCTTGGGGCCAGACGAGCCGCTGCAGCTGCTCCCAGCCCGCCTCGCCTGTCATCCCTGCTTGAGGAGCCCCGAGGCAGCCAGTTCTTGCCATATGAAATGATCATATTGAAAGCTCAAAGTTATCCTATTTGCTGAAAGCCTATCGCACGCTGAAAAAATATGCAAATACACATGCAAATAAGTCTTCTTCTTTACTTTATATTGCTCGCTGTAAACCGCCAGGACTGAGAACTGGGCCATCCAAGTGGACGCCTTTCTTTATTTCGAGTCCAGCAGCCCTAAGAAAGTGGTGACGAGCCCAGAAGTCAGCGAAGACTCCCCGAGAGGGCGTCCCGGGCTTTGCATGTGCTGCATTCATCAGCTACCCACACTTTGAGCACTTTTACTATTACTGATCGTGCACAGTACGAGAGTTGAAATGATCGTACAAATATGATCACTACCATGCACTGGGGTCTTGCCCCGCCCCCCCAGCACGGGCCGCCAGCGGGCGTGGGCACCGAGTGCGTCAGTGCCCGGCCCGGCCCGGGGGCCGCTCCTCCCGCGCGCAGCACTCACCTGCGGGGCCGGACGCGGCCGGACGGCGATAGCCCGCGAGCGAGGTTGCTTCACCACGGGCCCAGCACGACGTCACCGCCCGAGGCAGCTTCGTCCCGCCCCCAGGCAGCGCCCCGCCTCCCGGGTGCGGGCG